CGCACACCCACACGGTTTCTGCGTCTCCCGGCATTTCTCTCCTCTCCCCGTTTCTTCCTGTCTGTCTCCTTCTCTGCCCTCCACTTTGCCCCTCTCCCGCTCCCCATATCCATGCCTTCCCATCCTTCACCGCCTGAATGTCCCCCCTGTCTCTTTGACATTGAATCGCTATGGACTGTCATGGACACTTTCGACGCGTTTGCGATGTTCGGGACTGTTGTCATAAAAAAGTTAAAAAAAACTTGTTTGAATGAACTTGTTCGAACGAAAAAAGAAAAAAAAAGAATTTGACCCCTTCCCTACTGACTCATAAGTTAAGACGGCGATCTACAGCATCCACGAAAACCTCCACTGTGGGCCACCCAGCCAAACGCAGACAGAAAGCACAACATATGCACCCTCGCACACACGCGCCTTCACAGAACCACTCTAAACATCCACTCGAGCGCAGAAGACCACGGCATCCAATTACGTTCATCCCCTTATTTCGACCCAACTCTTCCCTCTTTCACCCGCGTTGGCAAGTTCCCTCCATCGCTTCCTTCATCAAATGAGCAGCGAACACCTCCCCTCCTTCCCCCGACACGGGCACACCTGCACGCGCAAGGGCGCACGCGTAACCGCACCCGCACGCACACATGGCCGCACACGGATACGTGCTCAGTCGCACACAGGTACGCACACGCTTGCAAACAAACAGAGTCCTAATGTCACGCACACAGACCACACGTTAAAGGACGCGCACATGCCCACAGACAGCCGACGAATGCATACATACAGAAAAGCGCACTCTCACACACAATCAAGCGCAAGCGCAGATAGCCACCCACCATGGCACACGGATACGGAGGCACGCGCTCGCACGCACGCGCATGGGCACAGGTACGGGTATTCTCGCATGGGCAACTCTCGTCCCCTCCCTTCTCCCACGGACAGACACGCTGGATAGCTCTACCTCGTCCGTGAAATGCTGGTTATCTCGCCTACACACACACTGTTTTTTTCCTTCTCTTTTCGGGACCAGTTCTCGCTTTATGCGTTTTATCCTTGCGCAGGGGCCATGCTAATCTTCTCTGCGTCGTTCCAGTTTTAACAGATCTCAACATACTCTCTCTCTCTGTGTCTCTCTCTGTCTCTCTCTCTCTCTCTCTCTCTCTCTCTCTCACACACACACACACACACACACACACACACACACACACACACACACACACACACACA